ATATATGCATTTTCAATTTGCCCCTCACGCTGGGTAAAAGCTTAAAATAAATTAAAAGGAAAAAGACAAGTGAAGTTACGGGTAATAAGTATACTATTATAGTATATTGTATACTATTACAGCATATTGTTACAGTATCTTGCATATTATTATAGTATACCATAACAGTATATTGTATACTATAATAGTATATTGTTGCAGTATAACTATATACTCCTATAGTATATTAGTATATTGTAGCGGTATACTGTTTTGTAAACTATAACAGTATAGTGTCGCAGTATAGCTATATACTCCTACAACATATTGTATACTGTAGCGTAGCTGTGTTCTTCGATTTTCAACTAAACATTTCGATCTCAATCGCCTCAAATCAGCTCCAAACGCTATCAAATTTCAGTATGAACTTCCAGAATGTACTATAAGCAATATTTAACAGTACCCACTTTGAATCAAACAAGAAATCTTCAAAAATAAAATTGAGCTTCAAGCCCAACAATGGTGGATATTCAAATACATAAAAAATTTGATCGTAAAAATTGCACGGGGCACCCTATTTGGTCGGCCTCATTTAACTTATACCCATTTTTTAAAAAAATTTTAACTTGTACCCACTTTTTAAACAAGTTCAGCCTTATTTCTCCTCCTTCTTCTTCTCCTTCGTCGTCTTCTTCTTCTTCTTTTTTTTTTTTAAAACAACTTCATTTTCTATTAGTAAAAAAGGTGGACTGTGTTATTAAATGGAACAGTTTTTGTTTTCCTCAGTACTTGATTGAGCCAAAACTTTAAGAAAAAATCATGAAAGAAAACGGGGAATACCAGATCTAAAATGCATTTCGTAAATGGATGTTACTCAACTCGATAACCAAACTATCTGAGAGGATTACATCAAAGAGAGGATTTGTGATGCAATTTCTTTTGGTGACAGTAATATTGGTACGACACAGTAGTTCCGTAAAAGAAACCAGACTAGCATTTTCATGTTTGAGACAAGAGCAAATCTAGAGCTGAAGTTCGCCAGTTACAAACAAACATTTCAGCTTTAGAGCTGAAGCTCGCCAGCTACAAAATAAAAACTTCAGCTCTAGAGCTGAAGTTCGCCAGTTACAAAACAAAAACCCAATTACAAACAAAAACTTCAGCTCTAGAGCTGAAGTTTGCCGGTGTCACACCTCCTTTTTACTACACCCCCGAAAGGAGTATAAGGGATTTTTTTCCAACTTAAAGTGACAATCTGAACCAGATTTATTTATTTAAAGATTCAGAGTCGCCACTTGGGATAATTCATGGTGTCCCAAGTCACCGGTTCAAATCCCGAATCGAGGAAAAGATTGACTCTGTTTTATAGTCCGCGAACACAGAAATCCGTGTAAGGAATTCTGTTAACCTGGGAGAATGTGTTAGGCATTTCCGATTTACGTGGTTCTAGCACGGTCGCTCAACTGTTATTATTGGCCTAATTATCTGATTTTAATACATGTTTTAGCCTATGGTATATTTTAACTTATTAACCGCTTTTAATTAATTTAGGAAGATTCAACATTATTTAAAACGCGCCTTGAACCACGTCACATAAAATGTACCCGCGGTCCACGACACATTTTATTTAACATTGTT